CCCCAAAACCCCAAAACCCCAAAACCCCAAAACCCCAAAACCCCAAAACCCCTATTCGAATTTGAGCAGTTGATAAGAAAATTTTTAAATTTAAATATGTCAATGATGACCGACAGAATCAGAGGACTTGGAGGCAGGGATGTCTCCGGCTCTCAAAAAGGAGCCCACTGGGCTTCCAGCCAAGTCGACGAGAACCAGAGGACAACAAAATTTAGAGACAAGAAGTTTGAGGGCTACTCTGAGCTCAAAGGAACTCTTGATGCTTCCAAGAGAAAAGGAAAAGGAGATAATTCAGATCAACAAGCGCTAAAACAGCTTGAGGACGAGTACATCCTGAACCTTCAGAAGCAGATTGCTCTGATGGAGCAAGAACTGAAGTTGCTTAAGGAGCGAGAAGCCGAGCAGAACAAAAATGCTAATGTTTATAAGGTACTGTTACAGGAAGGAATTCCTGTGAATTCAGACTTTATCGCTCTTAAGGAGAAATTTAACGACCAAAAAGAAGTCTGGGATAACAAGCTGATGAACCAGGAAGCTGATAACAAATCTGAGATTAAGAATAATAAAGGCAAGGAGCACACCATTGTTATTTTGAATCACGAATTTGATGATATTAGTGATAGGTATACTACATACAAGAAAGACACCACAACTATTATTGAGGACCTTGAGCATAAAATTTTCACTGAGCTGAATACTCTTGACAAGCTCAGTAAAGACAGGGAAGAACTTGCCTCAAAACTCTTGGAAATGGAAACCCATAATACTCAATTAGAGCGTCTGATCACTCGTAACAAGATGTTTAACAAGAAGCCAGAGTTGATGAAGCAAAGAGCTGATGAGCTTTACAAGTGGAACAAGAAGATTAATGACCTCTCTGACCAAATCGCCAAGAAGGACCTGGAACTGTACAAGCAAAAGATGAAATTAGAAGATAAAGACCTTATTAAGAAACAGAATGAGCAGGTTTTGGAGACTACACAGAAGTATAACAAGATCGAAATTGAGATTAATATTGCGAGGAGCCAGATCAAGGAACTTGAAGGTATCAAGAAGATGAACATCAGAATTTTACAGGACTTGTATGCTGAAATCCGAGATCTTGAGGACGAAAATGAACAAATGGAGGCCATTATCGAACCAGACGCCATGGATGATATCAAGTTCTTGGAAGTTCTAGCTGATAAGGAGAAAGAAAAGAAAGTTGAGCTTCAAAGCACTATTGATTCAGACAGTGTTTACGTAGAACATCTTCTCTCAACCATGAAAGATGAGGAAGGCAAAGCCAAAGACATGCTTGATGAGAAGGTCAGGCTCGAGAATGAATATAAGCTAAGTGAGGAAGATGCAGACAGACTCAGATATGATGTCAAGAATGGAAATGATGAGAACATCAGACTAAAATCCCTCCATGACCTTCTTGAAGTCAGAAAGGAAAGACTGACTTCAGAAGTTGAAGACATGAATAATGAAAACGAGGATTATCTTAAAAAGAATGAAGAGCTTGAAGAAGAAAATAAAGAAACCGAAGCTAAGATAAAGATGGTGCTCAAAAAGATCGATGTCAACAATCTACTTAAGGCTGTTAATATTGATGACCTATCAGCTGCTGCTAAGAAGAACCAGAACGTTAATAAGGTCCTCATGACTTTGATTAACAAATGGGAGCAAGTCAATATCGACAAAGATTAAGTCTTATTTATTTTCATTAAAGAGGTCTCTATTGGGGTTTTGGGGTTTTGGGGTTTTGGGGTTTTGGGG